AAGATAAGGAAGTAGAGAGAGAGTAGAGAGAGAGAGAGAGAGAGTAGAGAGAGAGAGTCAATTAAAAAAGATTTTAACATATTAACTTTATTTCATAAAGAGGAAAGTAAGGAAGTAAGATATAGTTTCTTTTTTTACCATTTCTTTTGGAAACAAAAACAAGGGAATTTATAGCCTTATTGATCCTTCCCGTATGATAAAATTCTTCAAATAGTGCCAATAGGTGATATTTGATCAAGTGCCAAAAAGAGGTGGAAGAAAGTCATGGGGAAGCCGTTCCAGGAGATTTATCTGCAGGGAAGGACTGCCACATTGATCTCCTCTAACAAGAAGGGAGTTTCTAATTAATCTCCTAGCTCATATAACAACACCGTGAGGGAGATTCTTCGTATTTCAAATGGAAGCCTAGTGTTCGAAGTGAAGGCTTTGACAAAGAATTTCAATTACATTCTTTTCACCAAGAAAGTTTCACCTGCGGGCAAGTAAATTGCACAACGTACTAGGTCACTTTTGCCTATGCCGAAAAGCATGCGTTTCTGAATAAAAGGCTCATGAAGAAGTTCCTTTAGGCCAGGCTAGATTGAGGAACAAATTCCATCTAGCGAATTGTGAGATTATGCAAATCAAAAGAATAATGAATCCAAAGGCCCATAAGATACGAACATGGCTCTACTTTGCACATGGTTGTAAACCATTGCAATCTAACCGTTAATCATCTGGTTAGATTTTAGCCGGCCAAGTGTCGGTTCGGATTTTGGGTGGTTTTGGTGATCAACCGGTATTTTAAAAAAAAATTCAAAAACATATATATAAATTTTCAAAGAATTTAGTTTATAATGCATTTTTTAATATTCTTTATATTATGGTAAAGATTAAAAATTGTTTTGATCATTAATACTCACTTTTATATTTAACCATCTTTTCTTTTAAAAATTTAAAAATACCAACCAAGGTTCATTTTTTATCTTGAGACTTGCTCGTTTCGACCATGAGATTCCTACTAAGGAAGCGTCGATGATACGTTAAAGAAAGATAAATGGCTTCACTATGATCCCATCCATTCAATTTTCCCCAATCTCTATCAGATCGCCATATACCGTGGGTCCACTATCTCGGAGCTACATTTCCTAAGTTGTGTCCTCAACTCCAATGTGGACGACTGACCAACCGTAAAGAAATGAAGCACCACTCCTTCTAGGCTGATGCCCTGCCATGCCAATTACTTTTCCTTTAAAATACTGCTTTGCATGTTTTCTTCCCCACTCACCACACACCAATGCCAACACAGACCAAATTTATGAGATCCTAAAGCGTCCCTGATCAGCACTCTCTCTCTCTCTGTCAAAAACACAGACATTGTTTCTTACTGGAGATGCTTCTCTCTTCTTCCCATGACTAGCGGCGACCGTCCCTAAATGAAATACCACCTCAAAGTGAGGATCAACCAACCATTTTAAGTGTCTAGTTTGGGTTTGAGAGCAGCGGACATGGTTCCCCTTTGTGAGTATTCAGTGCAAGCAATAAATACAACTCAAGATGAACATAATGAGCTCAGCACTAAGAAGCCACAAAATCATTATCTCATGCATATGTTGTGGGGCAAAAAGCAACCATGTGCATGAAGAATAATCAAAATGGACCCGTTTGAATTGACAATAAATGAGTAGCCTAGCCTCGAAAGGTTCAATAAATATTTACACTTTACATGTAGAGCTGACAGTAAAGAACAATTTCTAATTTACAAAACATGCTAGTTTTAACGGTGAGCGATGAATCAATCAATTTGCATACCTGCGTATGAACCCTTTGAAGGAGATCTTGTCGTTGAGCAGGCCTTCAACATTTTCTGAATATGTTCCAACAATTGTGTGAAGTACTAAGCAAATGTGGGTCCATCAGAAGATCTAGCATTAAAAACAAAGCCTTAAAGTACTTAATTTTCAGAAAGTCAAGATTGCAAGGTGAAAACTACAGTCATGCATCTGATGTCAATGGTATTAATGGAGAATCTGTTCGTTAGTTTCATAGAACAAAATACAAGAAAAAGCAAACACACCTGAAATAACACAAGATTATGTTGGTAACTTGGCATTACTTGTCACGATCAAATTTCCAGTAGGAAATGCAATGAAAAGCCTGTAGAGATTTCACTTCATAGTGAAGCTTTGAGACATTAACCCTCCTGTTCACGAGGACCCTGTTTGTCCACAGCCATCCCCAATGTACCAAAACTGAGAGGAACTGCTGCTGGTGCTTCCTGGCCATTCCAAATTCCGAACACTTCTTTCAAGCCTGCTTCTGATCCTGAACTACCTGAACCTGGTGTATATGGTTTCCTGACCTTTCTCTTCTGCACTTCCTGAATGGGTCAGAAAATGAATATAAATATTAGGAACATTCATGGATCATGGATGAAAAAACCATGCTTTTTAAGTGACAGACCTCGGAATGATTTGGCCCATAAGTGTTCATTGCTTGCTCAATGGCCATGTATATTTCGGCTGCTTGCTTGGACTCATTGTTGCACTTTATGACACGGATATTTTCCTTTGAGTCCATCAATTTATTGCGCAAGTACAGAACGAGGTGGGACGGTGATGAGTTTTGATCATCTTTCTTTCCTGTTGTGAGCACCATTGTTACAAGGTCATCCCATGACACATCCCACAGCACCAAACATGGATCCCTTACAGGATTGAATTTCTTTTGAGCCAAGATGTTTGTAGGTTGCTGCCCAGAAAAAAAAAAAACAGAGTATTTTAGAGAAGGAAAGGTGATGCACCTTTATTTTTGATAAGTGAAAAACTACAAAAACATTCAAAGCTACAAAGTCGACATACTTGTAAGAGTATAACTCTCCGATGAGTAATTACAAGAATTTTTCCTTTTGGAAGGATAAAATGGTCTTCATATGCATCTGATAAAGCAAACTTTCCACGGACCTTAAACAGGTCCACTTGACCAAACATTCCCGACTCAGCAAGCTGCAGCAGAACCTGATATGTAAATTGCATGAAAGTCAGTTCAAACCTGTTATGCAGCAGGCATGGTTAAGCTCGGTAACTTGCTCAGAAACAAACTAAGGCGACAATTGCTCCCCCACATCTTGAAACAAATACATCAGCAATATAAATACATTTGACTGTAAGGAAGTTTGCCATGTTCCTGTTAAAACAGAGAAGGGATGGAGAAGAAAGAAAAGAAGTGGCAGGTATTCGCTATGCCCTTTATTAGAATAGAATGGAAATGAGTTTCGGGTTATTCTCCACCTAAATATCAACACTAGGACATTCTTAGTTATTTCCATGATTATCTGCTAATCAATTACAATACCTGATACCAACAAGTTTAAAAAAAAAGTAAAAACAAAACTCCAGTCATCCAAGTGTTGATTGTACTTCATCCAAGTGTTGATTGTACTTACTTCCATACAGTTCAATTGCCCGTTCAAAACTAACTTGAAAAGAGATGTATTAGCCACTAATGTACTCTATCACTTGCATTGCCCATTCCAGCCATTAAAAAAATATACTGAAAATGGAGATTAGCACCAATCTCAATAAGCAATTAGACTGTTACGAACAGATCTCAATATGCAATAAGACTGGTACGAATTCGATGATATTCTCGACTCAAAACATAGACATCAGGCAGATGACTCAGCACAAGAGGTAGCATAGAAAGCTTAACAATCTCAATGAAATAGATAACAAAACAGAAGTGCAAGGATATCCCTGTATAGCACTGGAACTTACAAAACAACAGATCTCTCACCCCAAATCCAATAACTTGCAATAAGTCAAGTTTACAATGAATAAAACAAATTTTTAAAGGATACAAAGGAACATACTGGAAAAAGATTACTATTCTTAGTTGTAAAACCTGAAAAACACAGAGAACTAGGCTGAACTAGTCAAACCTGGTCTGAAGTGGTCAAAACCCTTTGAACCAGCTGTGTGATCTTGTCTGGATAATATTTTCATTACCTTGCATATTGATTTTTTACAATATATATACTGATTGGTTTAGAGCAAGGGGTACACCTATTTACTATCGGACCAACTACCTCTTTGTTACAATGGTCAATCTTCATAACATTTCAACCAAGCGGATTGAGGTGGCCTGCCTTCGTAGGAAAATAGGTTTCTGGAAGAATGTCTTCAACTCAGATACCATATATTTTAACTAAGGTGCAAGTTACGCATACAACAAATTATGTGCTGTTGATATTTGCTCTCCAGATCAAGGGGCCCTAGTATCTCTCTATCTATAGCACCTTATATTTCAGTTACTCCCTTGATATTCTAAATGTCCAGGGTGGTAATCATGCATAACGTGGGATACATATATTACTGCAAGGAATAGCATTGGGGATGTCCTGTACCAATACTGCCAGGTGGAAAGTCCACAAACTACAGATTTATTCCCTACTCATTGGTTTCTTGGACAAATATTGATAAGAAATAAAGAAACAACTGTTGCACAGTTGCAATAATTAGAAAAAGCCAAGACAGGATACATAGGATATACACATATAAACAATAATTTCAAATGCTAGAACTAGATTGGAAGGAATATGTGCAATAAAAAGGAAGCCTCATGACAATTGAAATTGGTACCTGTCCCTGTGCTTTGTACTCATCATATGGATGAAGCACATTGTCAGCCCCAATTACACGCGGCAGACGTCGACGAAGTAGCTGCTCATCTGATGTAATAGCAGATGCTATCTTCATTCTTACAGCATTTGCACCTTCAGTTGTTTTCGATAACAGATCAAGTACACCACTCACAGGCTGTGCTGCTGCTCCTATTATCCCTTTCCCAACACCCTGGACAAATCCCTCAACACCAGAAGATTTTGCACCTTCAAGTGGCTTTGTCAAAATCCCAGTGACTCCTCTGAAAAGACCCTTTGCCAGAGCTCCACCACCTTCTCTGATAAAATCACCAATGTCCTCCACAGATCCTTTCCCTTCCTGGAATATGAAATCCCAGAACCACTGGACATGTGAGCATTGTTGCAAGAGCTAGAAAAAATTATGGGTTGCTAATTGCTCAAAAGAAATGGAAGGCTAATTACCTGTCTTTGACGACTCTGAATGAATTTCTTATCCATTGAAAGAGCTGCAACACCTTTGCTCATGTGTCCAAGTGCACTGCTGGCATTTCCAAGTATGTCTACACCAGAGAGAAGTTGAAGAGGCTGACTGAGAAGATCCTTCTGAATATTTGACATAGCTGTGCTCTCAAGTGCACTTTGACGCATACATATATCTTCATGAAAACGAGGATTGATTCGAATCTGAATGAAAAGGATAAAATATACATGCTCTTCAGCATCCTTAGGACTATTGAGATCTATCTTCAAGTTAAAGATTAAACTAGAGCAAACGTGAGAATAAGTATCATTCGACCATGAAAGCTCATCGGCATAAATCACTCCTTGAAATATTTTTCATCATGTAAATAAGAATTTTCTCAGTGTAAATGGCTGCCTCAGTATACTCAATACGGTAAAAGCAGTATGAACCTCCGTAAAAGTATGAAGTAATTTACCGGCATGTTCTCTGTGTTTCCCAGCGCAGTCATCAAGGATGACCAAAATCCAAGGACACCCCTTGGTCGTTGACTCGGAGACATAGCCATTGATACTTTGAACCGAATTTCCGACATGTTGAACACCCTTGAATTATGGAATATATATTAGTTAGAAACATCAAACAAGCAACAAACTTGAAACCAGACAGTATGGCATCCTACAAAGAGGCATTTGCATACCCAATGTGTATGATTGGATCAACTGGTACAGCAGTTGTTTGATTTGACGATATCCTGCTAAGGTTCACATGTTGGACCATCTCATGAAGACGCCAAATTATTGGTTCATGAATATTCGCCAAGAATGCTACATTTGGTGGACCCTGGATCCGAAAGAAATCCAGCTTATACCACAACTTTTGATATATGAGCAATTATAAAATAAAAATGGAAAAAATACACAAAGACCATATTTGGAACCCTGGATAAAATACAAATGAAAATATGTGATATACCTGGAAACCAATATATGGGTATGCGTAAAAATCAGCAGAGTTGTCAGATTGCATGGTCATTGATAGCTTTAATATGTGCTCAAGTTGGTCTCCAGTTCTCTGAGGTCTAAACAGTACAGGCATTGGGCTTAACAGCAGCTGGTTATCAACTTGGATTCCAGCCATTCTTAACTTGAATCTGCAGGAAAATATTGAAATCAAGCCTAATCTCAAATATGTTAGGTGATTTCTTGCACCGGTTAACAATACAGGTAGTTCACAATCAATGTTCAAGAAGCCGTAGGCGGGCCACCTAGGTGGTGAGGGCTCTGGGCCGCTTAGGTGAGCGCCAGACCCAAAGGCGGACTGTGTTGTCTTTCTTTTTTTAAAGTAGGATCCCCAAACCTCCTACCATTTTATTGTATATATTATATAATAATAATTACAAATTAATACTACTTTTTTAGTTTATCAATAAATTAATTACTATCACATGCAAAAAGAATTTTCAATAAATTAATAATTACAAATTAATACTATCTCTTGAATTACCAATAAATTAATAATTACTGTTACATGCAAAAAGAAATTTTGATAAATTAATAATTTACGAATTAATACTATCTTTTGGTTTACCAATAAATTAATAATTATGAACTAATACTATTTTTTGGTTTTCTAATAAATTAATAATTACTGTCATTTGCAAAAAGCACTTTCAATAAACTCATCATTACAGATTATACTACGTTTTGGTTACCAATAAATTAATAATTACTATTACATGCAAATTTTTTTTTTGATAAATTAATAATTTCGAATTAATACTACCTTTTGGTTTACCACTAAATGAATAATTACCAAAAAGCATTTTCAAGAAATTAATAATCACTGTTGCATGCAAAAAACATTTTCGATAAACTAATCATTAAGAATTATACTATCTTATGGATTGCCAATAAGTTAATAATTAAGGTTACATGCAAAAAGTATTTTCGTTACATTAATAATTACAAATTAATACTATCTTTTGGTTTACCACTAAATTAATAATTGGCGTTACATGCAAAAAACATTTTCGATAAACTAATAATTACAAATTAATACTATCTTTTGGTTTATCAATAAATTAATAATTACTGTCACATGCAAAAAGCATTTTCGACAAACTAATCATTACGAATTATATTATCCTTTCATTTACCAAAAATTAATAATTACTGTTACATGCAAAAAGCATTTTTGATTAATTAATTATTACGAATTAATACTATCTTTGGGTTTACCATTAAATTAATAATTACTATTACATGTAAAAAGCATTTTGATAAACTAATAATTACGAATTAATATTATTTTTTGGTTTACCAATAAATTAATAATTATTGTTACATGCAAAAAGCATTTTCAAGAAATTAATAATTATGAATTAATACTATCTTTTGGTTTACCAACAAATTAATAAAAAATTTTTCAAAAAATTAATAATTACGAATTAATACTATTTTTTGGTTTGCCAATAAATTCATAATTACTGTTACACGCAAAAAGTATTTTCGATAAATTAATTATTATGAATTAATATTATCTTTGGTTTTACCACTAAATTAATAATTACTGTTACAATGTAAAAAGCATTTTCGAGAAACTAATAATAACGAATTAATATTATTTTCTGGTTTTATCAATAAATTAATAATTACTGTCTCATGCGAAAATCATTTTCGATAAATTAATAATTATGAATTAAACTAATAATTATTGTTACATGAAAAAAGTGTTTTAGATAAATTCATAATTATGAATTAATACTATTTTTTTGTTTACCAATAAATTAATACTTACTATCACATGCAAAAGCATTTTCAATAAATTAATAATCAATAATTACCAATAAATTAATACATTGGAATTAATAATTAAAAATGAATAAATTAATAGTTACGAATTAATTATCATATTTTAGAGGTGGCGCTTGCCTTTAATACCACCTGGGCGGGTGCCTAGAGGATTCTGCCTAATACTGCCCCCTTTACCCATGCCTAGTCGTTTTTTGAAAAAGTCGCATAGGAGGCCGGGCGGACGAATTTTCGAACATTGTTCACAATAATAAATGTAGCTCTCAACAATAAATGGCCTAGGTCTCCACAAATCAAAACATGCTGAAATACGAGAGAGATTCATGCTCAAAGTTAGTTAGGAGTCATTGCAACATTCTTCAGCAACACACACATCTCATACCTACTAGTTTTGGAACCCATGCCTGTCGAATATGACGACTGCAGATTCTGGACTGACATATAGAGAATCTCCTCAGGTGTATGATCAATAAGAGACAGTCCTAGCTCTGCAAGCTCGACAATAACATGGAATTCACAATCAGACTCTGAAGATGTCTGCTTAGAAACACTTTCAGATGGAGCAGACAGATGTCCCGGGATATTTCTGGGTACAATTGCCAAATTATCATTGCTTGGCATCCAGTCACCAATTTTAACAACTTGAGTCAGCCCTTCCTTCAGAACTGTAAGACGCAAAGCTTTCAAAGGTCCTCCAGAGATATGCATGGGCTGGTGGTCATTGTTTTCATCAATATTATACTTATCCGATTTTAATGGATCGGAACCATCTACCAGAACTTCCAAGAGTCGCGGTCTCCCAAGGTCTTCCCAGAAAAATGAAGTAGCGGCATTATTGGAAAGGAAACGCCAGGATTCATCAGTTCCATCTACTTGTCGAAAGCGTATTGGCAAATATAAAGATCTATTTTCAATCCTGTTATTTCGTAGGAAGGGTTATTACTACATAGCAATGTAGGTAAAAAAGAATTTAGCAAAAAAGTAACATAACGATTCATTATCATAACCATTTCATACCTGTAAGGGCTTGAGAATGAAGCTGGATGAAAAATAACTTGATATCGTGATTTTTTCATCCCATTCCGTACTTCCACTTTTATAAAAATATGGCTATTTCCCATCTCGTTCTTCAATAAAACAGACATCATACCTTCAATCTCCACACTGAATGGTGTGCTCCATTTGTATCCATCCATACATAGCTGAAAATTAGAAAGTACTCATCAATTGCAACCAGCTTATAGGAAAATTCAATTTCTGAAGGAACACCATACTAGTCGTAAAGCCACACAATACTCGACCAAGTATGAGTTTGGTAAAGCCACACAATACTGGACCAAGTATGAGTTTGGTAAAGCCACACAATACTGGACCAAGTATGAGTTCACCTGCAACAGTTCATTCCTAGAAGTAGATTGCCATTGAAATGCTTTTGGAGGATCATTGGGATGAATCCATTCCACCAGTTGGAAATCACATTGCTGCAATGCTAACCTGCACCCAAGCCGGTTGATAAATACTGTCTGAGGCTGGAAATGAATGACCTGCACGAAACAACTTCTCAGCAGGTATAGACATCTGATTTTTTTAACTCATTAGTGCAAAATAACAAAATAGTACACTCGTACCCCGACAAATAATGCACCAATGCACTACGGAGAAAAGAATTGACTAATTTACATGAGTTGTCACTGTACAAGCTTTCTTTTTTTTGGGTAACTGTACAAGCTTTCCAATAAATGTAACTACAAAAGGTATATTTAACAGCAACAGGTACACAAATAATGAACCTTGGTTCTGTCTGATGCCATGCTTAAGACAGCAGAAAGCTTGTAATATGCGCCAGATGAAGAGTAGGCCTTAACATCTATACGTTCCTGCAGAAAAAATGTCCAGTTCCTCATTTGATTATCAATAGGTATATAAAAAGAATTTAAAATCCAATAACAAGAGATTAATTAGTTTTGAGATCATGGAGTAATAGTTGACTAACCTTGTTTTCAAGCTCAAGAAGAGAAATGCCGGGACCATAATAATTACATTGATGACAAGAAACAGCAACACCCAATTTTGGCGAAAGAAATGATTCGTTTCGAGCTGGGAAAGGCAAAATCGCACTGTGGTTGATATAATCCAATGGAGATAACATTACTTGAGTTGAACTTGATTCCTCAATAACTTCAAGTGTTCGAACATTTCTTCTTGAGCTAGACTTCTTTGCTCCGACAGAATTGGGAGGTTGTTTCATGGCTGATTTCGCAGATTTCACAGCTTTGGACAGCAGAAGAAAATCAGTGTCATCTGCATCCAGATATTCAAGTTCCACAAGATGATATGACAATGGCAAATATGAATCGTTCCTAATCCAGTATGGAACAAAGAATCTCATTGTTTTAGGAGCAGCAGTGCTTCCTCCCAAATCACGTTCAATGCTCACACGCAATCTCCTGCACAAATAAAGAACATATCAGAAATTAGGACTCTGTTGATAGACTCCAAGCATTTTGAACTTTACTTAGGCAACAGAGAAACATTGACTGATCTTGTCCTCTTAAATTCCAATAAAAAATCAAGTTCCATTTTTCATGGTAATAGAAGTTCATTTATAGGCATAAGGGAATGTCAGAAAATAGTATGTGTCTCAATCAGGAATGCCACTCTGCAAATCTCGAGGCAAAATAATCGTACAACGAACTAGAATAATGACTTCAAAGAGATAAATAACTCAACAATGTAGTGGAACTTATCTAAGGAGAAAAACAAAAACAAGAAGAAAGAATATTCCTAGGAGAAATCAACTGCCTCTACAAGCGATATGACTTCAAAGTATACAAGTTCAGTGTGCAAAGCCTCATGGAAGAATTCGTACACTGAATACAGATAAAATTGCGACAACTGTTGCCAATTGCTTCATGGGGACCAAACTTGCCAGGAAGTGCCCATTACAGAACTGGATGCCGCTGGCTTGTCCGGCCCAGCATTAATGACACTGCCAGACGTACGTCGAATTGTTTACCAAAAATATTTATTGAGTAGGACGTAGCCCACCCCCCGACTGATCTTATGGTCCAATAAAAACCCTCAGGTCCACTGAGACTGTGGAACCCCTCTAGTTTTATAAAGTTGGACATTGGACACCCTACCATTTCTCTTTTGCATGGTCTTTACCAATATCACACTTGTCTTTTACATGAGGACGAACTAGTACAAAATTCAAAACAGTGGGAGTCTCTCTCTCAAAGCGCTCTCTCTTGCCGATCTCTCGCTCTTCAGATGGGGACTACATTTCAAACGCCAAAAAACATTGACTCCCGTAATCCCCTGTCTTATAATGCTCTGCACCTCCCCATGACATCCGATGACCTCCGTGCTCTCTCGTCCTGCCAACCGCCTCCTCCAAAGTTCATACCAAATCTGACTCTCTCTCATCCCTTTGACCTCTCGTCACTTTTATCTCTTCAAATCCATCGACAACAAAACAACAAATCCAAACCCAAACCCAAAAGAGAAAGTCCAGTCCAAACCAACCTTGGACTTTTAGAGAGAATGACGAGGACCAAATCAACCTCGGATTTTTATCCTCTCTCAATCCGCATGGCAAAGGTCAGGTTCTCATGAATTTTTGGTTCTATAATTTTCTATAATGGGTTCCTCTCTTATAGTTTGGAAGTCAAGTGCTTATCCTCGTTCATCTCTTTACTTAACCTTTTTTATGTTTCGTAATGTGCTGTAGGTTCCTAATTGTTTGAGTACCTAATTTGGGCATGGATTGTTTTGGGGACCTTTCCTTTTGAGATATTTGTATTCTTATTTGTTTGTGAGGTCAAATCAGGGGGCTGGGTTTTGCTGCTTCTAATAATAGCCACAAATTGGAGTGTTGGGTCTTCAGTTTAGGGGTTTGATGAGATTTGATTTGGGTTTTGAGAGGTTCAAGAAGAACCTAAGGGCTCTCTGAGAAACTGTCTACTGGCTGAGAAAGCAAAATTGCGAACATCAATATTGAAAGTGCCTTGTGCAAAAGGCAAACAAACAGAGCGGGAAGGAGCTTTATAAATTACAATATGTTTGAAGATTCGTAAGATCAGCCTCATGCTTTCCTGTTTTCTTATTTGTGCAAATTGGACTCCTGAATAGAACTCAATTATTTTCCTGAATAGCTTGATCTATGAAGCAACTAATCAAAACGATAACCTAAGAATGACAAAGAATACACAAGTTTCCAAAATACAATAAGTAAAAGCAACTGGAAAGAATAAACTATACAAGTTAAAGAAGTGAATCTAAGACTTAAAACACATACAGGAATCATAATAATGAAGATTGAAATGGACGCATCCTAAAGGGCTGGTCTTATACGTACACGAAACATGAAAACTGGATTTCTTGGAATATTCATTTCAGGCTAGGCACGAGAATAATTACTGGCTAAGTTTATAATCTAAAGAATAAACATTAATAAAGTACATGAACAATTAAGACATTGTACACACATTACTGAAGTCAGAGAGAAGCATAGAATAGAAGAACCCAAAGAGTAAGATGTAGTTATTATATTAAACTGCAGTTTGGTAGAACTACTGCACTTATGGTAAGTGTGTTACATTAACCTACAAGTAGACGTATTATGCACTTTACAATTTTTCTGCATTCTGGAGGCAAAATGGTTGTTTTTCCCCATCATCTTCAGAAACCAAAGCTATCACACTAGCTTTGCTCTTCTACAACACAGATTTATTTTGTACCATATTTAGGAATCATACAACGGTCTTTATTGATAAATAATACGGTAGGGACGTAACCAAGTCAGATTTAAGATAAGGATGAAACTTCAAGAGGATAATATCAATATTTTATTCTGGTTTGAACCTTTCCATCATAGAATCTCCTCAATATTCTAAGTCTACAAAAAGTGATTCAAAGTTACATACCGATTGCTGCGGTGAACCATCCAGAAAGAAGAGACATGGTCAAAAGATATAGGATCCCATATAAGTACAGCCTCCTGCCAATACCAAGAGTCAAAATGCATAGTGTAGTGAGCACCATATAAAGTATGATTCACAAACAATTATGTCCCAAATGAATGCTTGATTACCTTCTCGAGGACCCAACCACCTTGAGCAAACCAAGTTATGTATATTGCTTTTTGGACATCAACTGAATAAACAAATGAACTGTTTCCAGAAGAAACAAGCCCATGGTGCCGCTCAATTCTATTCCCTTCCTTTGTTTTCTCCCAGATGGCATATTCTGCATCACAAGGAAGTCTATTATCTATTTTTAAGGGTGCACTGACAGTTATTCTCCAATCATAAACTGGAGACTTGAGCTCAGTGTGAATGACCGACGCATCCGACCCAACACTAAACCAGAGAAGCTGGTTAGCATCATTATAAGCGATACTAGACAAAAGTAGATCCTTCTTCTCAAGCTGGTTTAGCTTGAAGTATGAAGTAGATGTTGAATTCCTAATGGACTGCCCGGAGTTCTTGCTAGAAGATGAACCCTCATCACCTAGGAGGTACTGATCACCTCCAGATGCATAGCTAGAGCCAATTGTAACTGTGCGGCCCCAGGAGTGTGGAGATTGAGAAGCTTCAACATAAGGACGAACTTGCAAGCAAAAATCTGTGACCCTTGTCATACTTTTCCAAGGTAATAGGAGTGAGGATCCTGGCCTTAAGAAGGGGAGAACCTCCCTTGAGCTGGCTAAGCCTTGGTCACTCAAACGTGTCCTGGTACGTACCCAACGCCTTCGGCGTACAAAGTCCAATGTTGATCTTTTGCCTGATTTTGAAGAAAGTGGAGGCCATTTGATAAGGCTCTGAAAATCTGATCCATATGCCCAGCCATCAGCATCAACAAACTGGCGCTTATCAATCACCCAGGGAGAAGTCCATTGCCAACCAGGGGGTAGTAATGATGGCTCAAAGAAGTCCTAAGCAAAGAAATAAAATGGTTTTAACATAACAAATCCGCACAAATGAATGAAATTAGCAAGAGATAAACATTGTCATCCTAAATTACTCACTAGATCTCACCTTAGAAGAGTATGAAAAATCCCTATTACTCCAATGCGCAGGATCATTAGTAAGGAAACCAGGCCACTTGTTGCCCCAGCCAGAAAGTGGCTGATAACGTTGGTTTTCAAATATTTCTTCAGTTACAGCACTATGCCCACTAATATTAGAGCTTGGACCTGAACTATGGTTCTCAACAATTGATGCAGGGCATATACAAAGTTCCAACTTACGATCTGTATCATTAAAAACTGCTGCAAGACTTCTCAGTACTGCATGTTTCCTGCCCTTCTTCATGACAATTTCTACAGCAAAATCCTCATTAAGGGTTTTAGGGATGGTTGACAAGGGCAACAATGAGCGAAAGATTGTCCATGGTCCCTCAGGGGAAAGCCCGATCCAGAAACCACAATCTCTCTCTGAGGAATTTAAGGCTACAAGATCCCTCTGGAAGTTCCCCAGAGTTTCTCTTTCATAGTAGGAAATGGAAATCAGCAGAGATCCACATTCCTGCATTTCTGCATCAGAACTCAACTGAACCTAAAAGTACATAATCATTGATCAGAAAAAGAATATAGAACATAAATACATCTGCACTAAATATATTCATGGAAATCAGTCCATGTATTTGTATGAATGTACATTATGATACATGCATGTTTGAAGCAAATGTCTGTAGCATTCCATTTTTGCAGGCATGTCATGTTTTACAAGGACATATGGGAGCACCTTTCTTCTCAGCGAGTATGAAACAAAATGTTCCCTCATAGAACCTTGGTGCATTATCCCTACTGCAGATAGCTTCTTTATGGTAGAGGTTCCTATTTGAATGGAGAATGCACCAATAACTTCTCCTGTCATTCAAAGGACACATTGTAGTTTTATAAAACCGGTACATTAAGCATAACTGAAACAAAAAATAAAAGGATTTAGATAAAAAAAAAATTTATTTTTTTTTGGCTAAGTAACTGCCAAAACCAGTACATTAAGCATAACAAAAACAACAAATAAAGGATATAGATATAACTGTACAACTGCTATTCCCAAAAAATATTAAAATGTGAATTGCATATGAAATTGTAAACATCTGAAACGACTTTGGATGGGCTGCTAATTCGAGGCAACACTTTCCCAGTTGTCAATGTTCCCAAAAAGATTAATGCAAATAATAGTATTACAGATAACAGGAGAACATAGAATCTCCTATAAAACAAAGTGCGGTACAAACAAATTTTGATAATGAAGTCTTGAAACAAAAGTTAACACTTCAAAGAGGAGTAGCTTGGCCAACATCCACAGCCCCGTGGCGATAAAAAACTTGGTTAAGTTCCTATATGCAGTATAGATTTGGGCCTGTCTACAACAAATCTAACAAGGACCGTGGCTAAAACTTCACAAAAATACCAGCCTTACTGTCCCACATTAGTTTTCAATTCAATCTGGTCCAGAATATTCTGGATTATCCCTTATAAAAAATATTAGGATACAAGATCCATCCCCATTTACGTTCCTGCTTTCAGTTGGAAAAATAGAAAACAGGAACCACAATGAACAAGGAAACAATAAGAATAGCAGGGAGATCTGAATTATACATGTTTGACTAATTTGGCAGTGAAGGAATAAATATTGACACTTGACAACAGTAGTTGATCGAAACAATACATTTGGTGGTTCTCCAAAGCAGGTGCATTAATTTAGGAAGGACCAAGGATATTCTAAAATGAATGCCGACCATGGCATGTTTTCTATGGATGCTAGAGGATCATTGTTATCATCATCCGAGCCGTATCCCAACTATTTGGGATCGGCTACATGATCATATTCCTCCATTTTGCTCTATCAAAGGGTCATACCCTCAGTCAGACCATAAGTCACTATATCTCCTCATTACCTCAATCCATGTCCTTTTGGGCCTTGCCCTTCTAAAGCTTTCCAATGGATGCCAGAGAATAATATATATAAATGCAAATTCCTTAGATGGTGTGGTTTTCTAACACAACAGGTCAAGATGGTGTGTGCATCACGTGGGATTTAAAGCAGAACTTCAAGGAAATGATAGGAGGAAGGAAAATATCATGTTTTGACTACATGATAGGTCTAAGAAGAGTGATGACCTTAAAAATTCCCTTAACCCATCCCATGCCTGGGTAAAGGGGCATGGTTGTGTTAGGTAGGCAGCCAACGTAAATTTTTGCCAAAACCCATCCACGTGGAGAGTCTATTTTAAAAGTTGATTAAATGACGAAAAAAATGGGAACATAGTGGTTGAAGGGACTATTGGTACAAGTGACGGTGGAAGTCATAGATACATTCGTAGGATTAGGATGTCAGAAGTGAAAGAAGCTTTGAAATGATGAAGATAGAAAAGGCTTTAGGACCAAATGGTATCCCGATAGAGGTTTGGAAGCGCATGGGAAAAATTGGCATTGACTGGCTGACAAAGCTATTCAACAAGGTATTGAAAACAATAAAAATGCCAGACGAATGGAGAAAAAGTATCATGGTACCTATTTACAAGAACAAAGGCGACATACAAAATTGTGCAAACTATCGAGGGATCAAGCTTATGAACCATACTATGAAGCTCTGAGAAAGAGTCATTGAGCAACGACTAAAGCATGAAACGAGTGTATTTGAAAACGAATTTGGTTTTATGCCAGGAAGGTCAACAACTGAGGCTATTTTCCTACTTAGGCAACTGATTGAGAAGTTTAAGACGAAAGGTGAAGACCTCCACATGGTCTTTATTGATTTAGAGAAAGCTTATGATAGAGTACATCGAGATTTGATTTGGCGGGTGTTGAAAAAGAAAGGCGTCTCTAGACACTACATCGACTTGGCAAGAGATATGTACGATGGAGCGGTTATTAGTGCACGAATAACTAGTGGAGAGACGAGTAGGTTTTCATTGACAATAGGTCTACATCAAGGGTCAGCATTGAGCTCGTTCCTCTTTTGTCTTAGTTATGGACGACTTAACTAGGCACCTACAGAATGAGGTACCGTGGTGCATGTTGTTCGCAGATGACATAGTTTTGATTGATGAGATCCAAAACGATGTCAACACAAAGTTAGAACTTTGGAGGGATGCTCTAGAATCCAAAGGTTTTAAAATTAGTCGGAGGGATGCTCTATAATCCAAAGGTTTTAAAATTAGTCGGACTAAGACAAAGTATATGGAGTGAAAATTTAGTAATAATAGGAGTAAATACGACACTTTCGATATCTTGGATCGATAATCTTGGGTTGATAATCCAAGAAAATGGAGAGATCGAGAAAGATTTCACACAAACAATTAGAGCTTGGTTGGCGAAGTGTAGGTGTTCAACTGGAATTTTATGTGACCGTCGCATATCAATAAGGCGGAAGGGCAAGTTCTATAGGACAAAGGTGAGACCAGCTTTGCTCTATGGGGCGGAATGTTGGGCGGACAAAAAACAATATACCCAGAAAATGAGTGTAGCGGAGATCAGAATGTTGAGATGGATGAGTGGGAAGACAAGAAGGGATATAATTCCCAATAAATCTATTTGAGAGAATTTAAGCGTGGCACTAATAGGCAATAAAATGAGAGAGAGTAGACTTAAGTGGGCTGGCAATGTGTGGCGCCGACCAAGTACAACACTTATTAGGAGGTACGAATTAGTTCAAGTGGAAGGACTGAAAGAGGCAAGGGGCAGGCCCAAAAGGACGTGATTGGAAGTAGTCCGAAAAGATATGGGGATTTATGGCCTCATTGAGGATATGACATTAATTAGAGCAGAATGACGAAATAGGATTCATATAGCCGACCCCAATTAATTGGAACAAGGCTAAAATGATGATGATGATGATAGACTCGTAGAGTGGGTGTGGGAGCAACAGACAGAAGTAGCAGTGGAACATCATTATCATAGTGATTAGGGTCAGAAATGGCCACGAAACAAGGTCAGTAATAGATGGCATACAAAGTGAGAATATGTACCTGACAATAGTAATGTCACACCTTTTCAGGATAGAATAGATAATAAGGGCATTGTGGCTTTCTATGGAACTAATCTAACTGAGTTATTTAATTAAGAGTTTTAGTTTTTCTAGAGTGCAAGCCATGATTATTTGGACTTCTAATTATTTTAATTATGTTGGGAGTATTTATTTCTTTTCGGTACTAGAGAATTCAAGGGCAGTTTGGTCATTCAATTATTTTACTTTAATCAGGGGTATTTTAAGTCATTTCATTTTGAAACAATCATTTATATATGGAGGGAGAGGAGTCTAGCCCTTAAAAGTGTTTTATTTTGGAAAATTTTGCAAACAAAACCCTAGGGAGGGATTCTTAAAATCTTGATTGAAGGCTACAAAGAAGACTTGGTGGCACCTTCCTAGGTCCCTCCCTTCCAAGGTACTTTTCAATTTTTTTCTTTCTTCTGTCCCTTATTCTATTCTTTCCTTTCTTGTTTCCCTTCGCCTTTTCTTTCTGTTCTTTCCCCTTTTCTTTCCCTTCTTCCCTTTTTTCTTTTCTTTCTTTCCCTTATTTCGTCTTTCTTTCCCTAATTTGACATTTAGTAATCAAAACCTTAATTTTCTTATGCCACATTAACTCCTAAAACCCTAGAATTAGTAATGGATACCTTCCGGAATTAATTTAAAATTATTCTATACCCACTTCTTTTATCAGGGCTGTGGACTATTTTAAATTGGGAAAATTATAAAAACCCCCAAAAAACAGACTTTCTAGACAACATCCCCCCAACCAAGTTATTTTTAGCTACTTTTACCCCAAATCTATGTTTTATAGCAAATACCATTCCAAGTCAGAAAAACATAAAACGAAAACTACAATACCCTCCCATGACTTTTACCCCTTTCCACGCCTCTCTCTCCTCTATTCCCACTTAACCTATTTATTTTACTCCCCCATTCCACTTGAGAAGGACCCACAAAGCACTCACGCTCTCTCCCTCTCTCTCTCTTTGGACCTCTGGCCTGAACTCCCTCACTCTCTCTCTTTCTTCAGACCTCTGATCCGAGCTCCCTCCCACTCTCTTGCTCTCTCCTCGAAACCAGGGCCCAAGCTCTCTCCCTCTCCCTCTATGAAGGATTTACGGCCAGAGGTCCCACCCTCTCTCTCCTTGACGCTAGGGCCTGAGCTCTCTCTCTCTCTCTGCCCACAGCCTGAGCTCTTACTCTCTCTGTAAATCAGCTTGGGCTCTCGATTTCTCAGCCCCAGACCAAGCCACCAAAGATCGAGCTCTATTTATAGCTCGATCTCACAGCCCCATTTAAGTACGAGCTCAATTCTAATAGGTATGACGCCCACCAAAGTACAACTGATGCAACAAACGCGAGCGTATCTCCTTTATTTAGTTGACACAACTATATTTGCTAAGTCATCTAAAGGATCAATGCTTGTAATTGACCTGCAATTGTTTCGAGAATTCGATGAGGCAGGGAAGTATGCATGGGCTATGGCACTTGCCTTCTTGTATTGTTCCTTATTTAAGGTTGTGGGTTGGGATACGATGCATTTTAGTGGGCAAGCAACACTACTACAGGTAATTATCAGTATCTTTATAGTCAACAATTAGAGCGTTACAATTTCTTTGGCTTCTTACGATTCGCTTCTTATTATTTTTGGTGTAGTGCTAGGTCTATGAGCATTTTCTAGCTCTAGGAACCAAGCCTAGAGCTATCAACCTAGGAATGCCTAGAGCTTGCATGTGGAAGAAACAACCATGCCACAAAAACCCATTAAAAGCACGTGATGACATCTCATTTGACTTGGTTAGTGGTTTGCTTGTGTGCTTATATAATTGTAGATAATCTATCAAAAGAAAATACAAATAAGCGTTTATTGTGTTATGTTTTTTTTTGT